TGTGCTGGCTGGGCCGCTGGCCGGCAGGCGCCCCCTGGCCCACCAGGAGCTGTCCCCAGCGCCCAGGCGAGCAGAACTGCCCCCGCCAACCTCCAGCACACAGCGCCTGGCAGCCAAGGCCGTTACCTTCGGCGTCCAGCACGAAACTGGAGGACACGCCGTCCGTGTCGCTCACCGACACCGAGTAGGTCCCCAGGGTCTCCGTGTCCGGGTCCTGCAGGTACAGCTTGGAGCTGGAAGGTGAATACAGGTGAGGCCACTGGTGGGCCACTGGGCCACAGGAGGCTGGGGCGGGGCCAGAAGGGGCTGGGGCGGGGCCAGAGGAGGCTGGGGCGGGGCCAGGCGGGGTCTGTGGAGCGGGCCGGGGCCAGGTGGGGCGGCAGCACCCCGCCCTGCACCCCGTTACCAAGGGGTGCAGCCCCACCAACCTGAAACTGGCTCTGAAGGGCGTGGCCCTGGGCGGGGGCAGAGGCCTGGGGGCAGAGTCCAGGGCCAGGGCTGCTGTCGGGCATCTCTCTCTGTGGACAGCGTGGGCGGGCGCCCGTGGGGAGCCCCGGCGCCCGTGGGGAGCCCCGGCAGGTGCTCTGCTTCTCCGAGGAGACACCTTCAGGGAGAGATGGCCAGCCGCCTGCAGGGGTGCGGGTGCGGACAGCAGCTGGAAAGCCTCAAGGCCCACAGGCTCTGGGCCCCAGGGCCCTCTCCAGGTCCACCCTCCGGGCCGGCCACCGGGTGACCCTCGGGGAGCGTGTCCAGGGTCGGCACCCGGGGCGCTCTGGGAGACCGTGGGGGGCAGACCCTGCAGCCACCGTGTGGGAGTGTCCGGGAGTCACAGCCCACCCCCTCTACTGGGGCAGCCTGCTCCTGACCCCCCCAGCCAGCGCCCGGCCCGCTGTGGGCAGACAGGCTCCCCAGGGTGTTTCTGTTACCGGCCACCCAGACACGGAGGGCGTGGCAGGCCAGGCCGGGCTACCTGGCCAGGCGCCCGCCGCCCGGAGCGCGCAGGCCCCGCCCCCCAGCCCAGCAGAATCACCCTCCGGGGAATTCCCAGCGCGCTTTCTCACCCTCACGTACCCCAAAACCCCGGCACCCTCCAAATCCACACGCGCCCTCTGCCTGGAGCGTGCCCCGGGGTCCAGCCAGGCGCCGGGCGAGGGCACCCACCGGGCCTGGGGGTGCAGGCACAGCCCCGGGTGCCGGCCTGGTGGGGAGCAGGCTCTGGACACCGAAACTGGCCCAGGCCCCAGGCGATGAAGTAATTAACGGTGTCTCCACCGAAGCGCAGTAAAAGGTAATGGCCCTCGCCGCGCCGGGGCTGGGCACTCCACGGGTGCTGGGGGAGGGGTGCGGCCACCGAGCCGGCCAGCG